TCCTCTGTCCCAAATGATGAAAACAATCCAAAATCGAAGGAATCCAAAGTTAGTTGCATTTACACAAATCATTGCGTTAGGGCCACCACTGTCACTCGCATGCCAGGATAGAGGCACGTGCAATCATCCAACTCACTGGTCATACAAATCAAGAGTCCTTATTGAGTTACAACACTGACTCGTCGGCCGATCAGAAAAAGAACTATTCTTCGATTCTGCAGGGTTCAGATTCGACAGTCAGTCAATTATCATCCACTGTCATTTCAATCTTGCACAAAATGTAAAAACTGGCGCGTCCGCCTCTGTCTAAATTTCAGACTGGGTAACTGTCAACAAAAACTTCCCAGAAAATAAGTAGGTCCGGCCAGTGTTGGGTACAGTAAGCTGGTTTCTATCGTGTTTGGGGGGTTTAGATAACCAAGCTGTTACTTATTTACAACGTACAAAATTGTTGCATTGAACAAACAGTTGTTTGTTTTCCTTTGACGAATATCTTTTTAGGTTACATTGTTAAAAAAACACAACGAAAGACGCTTACCTAAGTCAATTCCCATCTCGTTCCATGCCAGATTACGCACTGTCTTCCGCGGAACGAAAAAGTTCGATTTTAAATCGGTCATGGTAGAATGGAGATAAATGTACTGTGTTTGAAAATAAGATTAATATTAGACCGAATTGATAGTCTCTAAATTTCATTTGAAACCGAACGCTTAAAAATAACTCTCCACCAACATTCCAATCAAATTGAAACCGCTCGAGTAGCGTTAAGTGCGATTACAACACCTTGGGTGACTTTCAAATGAAGAACGGAAAAATAGACGAAAATGGTACTATTTGGAATCATCATGGTGTTCTGGTTCGGGACATAGCGGATTACCTTGTATGGGAGACATTGTAACTGATATCCCGAAAATGGACTTATCACCCTTGGAGTGTGGGAGATAGTCTGTAAGCTGTTGGGGGTTGCCACATATACTTATGTTGTGGATGGAACAACCTGGTTGGAGGTTTCTGAACCAATTCGCTTACCCCGAAGAACCTGAAGAACCCCGAAGAACCCGAAGAAGGCTATAAGGACGAATATCCTGTGACAGATAGTTGGTGACCTCACAAAGCAGATCTATTGTGACTGGGTTTCTGCTGCCTGACGGGCAAGCAGATTTGAAAAAATCCTGCTGACAGCTTATCCGCTACAAAATGTACAGTCGCAGTTGGACATTTTTGTTTACTAATTGCTTGCCCCAAAGCTGGGTGGCCAGTGCGACGGGAAACAGCTCCGGGAGGGTCACATTACGTGTTGTTCCATCCACAACCTACTGGTCCAGGCATCTGCCACTGAAAGCATTTGCCCTGCAGGTAGGCCCCAAAGCCAAACCCCTCCGACAGCATCTGTACAATGCTGCCTTTGTGAGTGACGTCACCTTTAGTCCTCAGTGTCTAGTTGTAGAGGTGGCCGTGGTGGTTCTTTCACGCTCTTGAGGTAAGCATATGAATCTGACCTGTGCTCTATTAATGATACGTGGTCGACCGGATCTGGGAAGGTCACGTGTTGCCCCGTGTGTCTGATAACGGTTCCACAGTCTTGTAATGGTGCCTGATGCTACGCGGAAAAACCTGGCTACCGCCTAAGATGATTCTCCTGTTTGCAGACGGCCGATGGAGTTGCTGCGTTGGGCTTTCGTCAGTCGTGGCATGTTTTCGCTGTTCACTTGCTGTAAGATTGTGATGGCATGCAAATGAAAACCCAACTGTGATGATTTTGCACCTGCATGCCATCTTTTCACCAAATTTCTGCAGTGCCTCATTCTTTCCACACAAATCAATCCCATTCCATGTATAAATGGCCAATTCATTTTTGGTATTAATTTAATGTATGGGTTCGGCAACACCCTGTCAAATATTTACTACTTTTGCGTTTCTTTTTATGCAGAGTATATTATTATTACTACATGATCGGGCTCATCATTTATGTTCCATGAGTTGGGGATATTTTGAATACTGATCTTCATTTTACCTCTGCACTTTTATTTTCACAGAATAAGTTGCACCAAATTACCATGCTTTAGAAAGGTTGAGATAGCTTAATGTTAATGTCACCACTTCCTATCTTATGACATGAAACTGTTTACTGTCCGTATTATTCACAAGAAGTTTCGATTTTCTTTTTAAACAGTTTTAATGTCATAAGATAGGAAGTGGTGACATTAACATTAAGCTATCTAAACCTATCTAAAGCATGGTAAGACTTTCCACACTAATGATTTTACCATCAAGCTTAGTGTATCACTTGACTAGGATGCTGCCGTGGTATAACAATCTTGGTCCGGATTACTCAAACTTTACAGTTCAGGTTATAAAAACGTAGTTTATGTATCATCGCCAGTTGATATTCTGTTGCATGTGTCTACAGTGTTTACAGAGAGAAGAATTTGTACAAAAGATTCATAAAACTCGTTTCATGACACTTGCATGGAATTTGATTAGTTGATGCTTGGCCCTTCCTTCCTTCCGGAACTACTTTGATTGACTAATTCGTTTGGGTTTTTATCGAAAAACATACTTTGTACTCGAAAATTATGCTTCAGTCTGGTGAAAAAAAAGAATTTGCCTGCCACAAAAAGTATATGTTTGCACGTGTGTTTCTTTAAAAGATTCGAGCTTATATATTTAAATAAAAAAACAACATTTCGTTTTGTAGCTGTAGCTGGAAGAAATATCTAATATCTTTTTTTGATGTAATGGGATGTATGCGGGGAGTGATGTTTATATTTTACATATTTTGTACTAAAGAGTGCTCACGTAATTCCAAATTGGATTTTAAACATGGTAACCGAATGGTAACCAAATAATGTCCATTTCTCAGCCATTCCTGCATGTATCATCATTACATTTGGTATTGGTATGTGGTTTTCAGTTAAACATGTTTTGTACATATTTTGTTACTTTTCGATATCTCGTCTGAAACTCAGTGACCATGAACGTGAATGGCCTTTTCTCTTGTGTTTCTAAAACCTGCTTACAAGATTTTGATCCGATGTTAAACATGGCTACCACAACAGCAATTTTAAGAAACCCAGTATATTGTTTCTCAAAATGTATTGAAATTTGGTATAGGTGTAGTTGGATGTGGGGGACATATTTGTTCCATTTTTGGCGATATTACAGAATAATAGTTTGTGTCATCAAAGAGGAAATGTTGTCATCAAAGTAGGTGCAAAAGACCATGTTAGACCCTTCTGAACAGGTTCCTGCCACCGTGTTTTATCACAATATCTGCCTACTAATGGGAGCTTTGGCATAGAAACGGTTTTCCCATATAGTTGTCATAGAAACCCAGCTTGACTTTGAAAAGAAATGGTTCGAGTAACATTAGTAAAGGCTATCGGTAGGATGATCAAGAAATCGTTTTACAATAGTGAAATGATAGTGAAACAAATTCAAGTTGACCAAAACTGGACACGGGCGGAGGGCAAGCGCATTTGCCGCTTTAACTAGTGCTATCCTCCATTTGGCTAGTCAAAACCGGAACAGTTGAGGCAAGGGCCGGGGACCTGCAGCATGTCAAAGAGTGTTTTCTTTCTTGTGACAGATTACTTAAAGGTACATGTCCCTGTGACACCGAGTAGTAAAGACACTTACACTTACCATGCTTCTTGGCATCTACGTGTCGTCTTAGAAAAACATCTTACCTTCTTCAAATCAATTAGATTTTATCGCAAAGTCTTTTGTTAAAGGTATTTTTAAAAATCAAATGTTCAAAACCACAGAGCACGTGGCATGTGCACATGTTGATGTCTGTGAGAAGCATCACTATTGGCACTTGACATCGAAGTCGTAAACCCTTGCATTTTCTGCACCAATTCTTGTTCAAATAACGAGAGATCTTTGTAGCAAATTAACGTTGAAGTGCTTTTAAGAGTAAAGTTCCTTATACTTTTTCTCAGAATCAGTTGGTTGAACTATTCCTATACCTTATGTGGATGTTTGTCATAAGTGTATGGCTTAGTTTCATGAAGGGTGTTAAATTTGAACATGATATTGTATTTAGAGAGATAGTATTACACGTACACGTACACGTTTTACCAGACATTTACAGGGGTATAAAATGATTGGGAAAAGAATATCACATAGCCTAACCCATACTGTTCACGCACTTCCTCAGCGATGGCTCCCTCATGTTCAATCAGCAGAAAGAAAAACTAATGTAATGTTTAATGAATTTGAGAGCAAAACAAAAGGATTGGTCATATTGCAAAGCAATCGGAATTAGTCAACGGTTTAGAGATATCAAGAAAGCAATAATCTAAGAGATTGTACGCGAATTTCAACACAGACAAAATGTTGGGGAAGTGGCATAGTTTTTGTTCAATTGATAGTGATGTTACATTGCTTTTTCCCAATAAGACACATATTACTGCTTAATATAATTACTACAGTAATATGTCTATTTACATAACGTTTAACACCACGCCTAACTACGCTCAAAGCTCTTTGAAATCTTCGTAGAAAGAGCATGCTCGATTGTTTCTCAAAAGTTGCGAATTGTAAACACCAAAGGCTTGAGCTGCTGGAATTTTGCTCCACATGAAGTGAAAGTTGACTATTGGAAAGTTGAAGTTATCCCTCTCGTCATACAGTCTTGTGGAGAGGGTTTTGTCACTCTCTATGGATAGACTTAAATATGAAAAAGATGAGGCGGTCTGACTGATGTCTTTTATTTCTAATTCATGTGGGTAAATCAGTGGAAGGGAATTGGCTATTTGATTGTTATTGAACGATATCAGATCATCGATATACCTGAAGCTTAAGTTAAACTTCTTGGCCAAATTACCTTGTTTTGACTTTGCCAATCCGAACAGAAATGTACACACCAAAGGCTGGCGCTGCAGCAATATTGCTCGACATAAAGGGAAAGGCGACTATTCGAAAGTTGAAAGTCTGATGCTGCATCACAAAGAGACAAGTATTGTGGTTGATGACTCACTGTTTTATTGTTATAGGTACAATGAGACACTTATTGTTGGTCGCCCTGCTTGCTGTTATATTCTCTGCTGTCTTTGCAAAGGTGAGAAGAACAGTCATTTAGTAACACATGGTGATCATGTCACACGTATGTATTCAATGATTACAAGATTCAATGATTCATTTCGAGTATATTTACATAGAGCAAAAGAAAAAAGACTGTTTGTTCCTATGAATATACTGACTTGAAGTTTGTTTGCCCTTGTGTTTACTATGTGTTGATCATGTAGGTAACTATGATTTACAGGGAGGCAGGCGACAACAGAGACAGGATGTACAAAGCGATATAGCTGATGATGTGAGTTCAACTCTACAACCTATATGGTTGTACTGATAACTAGAATGAAAACTACAGGATCCTAGGCCGTAGAAGATACTTTAAATGTAGCTGACATGTGGGCTGTGGTATGTAGATGTCAGGCTGTTGGCTGTGGTATGTAGATGGGAGACTGTTGGCTGTAGGTCGTGGGCTGTGGTATGTAGATGGGAGACTGTTGGCTGTAGGTCGTGGGCTGTGGTATGTAGATGGCAGGCTGTTGGCTGTAGGTCGTGGGCTGTGGTATGTAGATGGGAGACTGTTGGCTGTAGGTCGTGGGCTGTGGTATGTAGATGGCAGGCTGTTGGCTGTAGGTCGTGGGCTGTGGTATGTAGATGGCAGGCTGTTGGCTGTGGTATGTAGATGGAAGACTGTTGGCTGTAGGTCGTGGGCTGTGATATGTATATGGCAGGCTGTTGACTGTGGTATGTAGATGGGAAGCAGAAGGCTGTAGGTTGTGGCGTGTGGTATGTAGATGGGAGGCTGTGGGCTGTAGGTCGTGGGCTGTGGTATGTAGATGGGAGACTGTTGGCTGTAGGTCGTGGGCTGTGGTATGTAGATGGGAGGCTGTGGGCTGTAAGTCGTGGGCTGTGGTATGTAGATGGGAGGCTGTGGGCTGTAGGTAGTGGGTTGTGGTATGTAGATTGGAGGCTTTTGGCTGTCTGGTATGTAAATTGCAGGCTTTGGGCTGTGGTATGTAGATGGGAGGTTGCGGGCTGTAGGTCAAGGGCTGTCGTATGTAGATTACAGGCTGTTGGCTGTGGTATGTAGATGGGAGGTTGCGGGCTGTAGGTCGTGGGCTTTGGTATGTAGATGGCAGCCTGTTGGCTGTGGTATGTAGATGAAAGTCTGTGGGCTGTGGTATGTAGATGGGAGGCTTTTAGCTGGGGTATGTACATTTGAAGTTGTGGGCTGTAGTCGTGGGCTGTGGTATAAAGATGGGAGGCTGTGGACTGTTGTATGTAGATGGGCGGCTGTGGGCTGTGGTATGTAGATGGGAGGCTATGGGTTGAAGGTCTTGGCCTGTGGTATGTAAATGGAGGCTGTGGCCTGTGGTATGTAGATGTGAGGCTGTTGGCTGTGGTATGTAGATGTGAGGCTGTGGGCTGTGGTATGTAGATGGGAGGCCTTTAGCTGGGGTATGTAGATGGGAGGTTGTGGGCCGTGGGTCGTGGGCTGTGGTATGTAGATTGAAGGCTGCGGGCTGTGGTATGTAGATGGGAGGTTGTGGGCCGTAGGTCGTGGGGTGTGGTATAAAGATGGGAGGCTGTGGGCTGTGGCATGTATATGGAAGGCTGTAGTCAGTGGTATGTAGATTGGAGGCTATGGGTTGAAGGTCTTGTAGATGGGAGGCTGTTGGCTGTGGTATGTAGATGGGAGGCTGTGGGCTGTAGGTCGTGGGCTGTGATATGCACATTGGAGGCCGTTGGCTATGGTATGTAGATGGGAGGCTGTGGTTTGTAGGTCGTGGGCTGTGGTATGTAGATGGGAGGCTGTGGGCTGTGGTATGTAGAAGGGAGGCTGTGGGCTGTAGGTCGTGGGCTGTGGTATGCAGATTGGAGGCCGATGGCTATGGTATGTAGATAGGAGGCTGTGGGCCGTTTTATTGAACAAAATGGCAGCATTGTGTATACAACTGACCCTACATTTTACCCATATGACGATAGAAACTAATAATAATCACACAAAATTAAAGTACATATTTAGCAATGGTTAGCTCATAGTTTATACTGAAATATTTCTTCTTAATCTGTCGCTCCTTATATTCTTTACTTCCTCATTTATTTGTTGTAACTATATTGTTTGTAAACGTATTTTTCAGAGGGGTTACTAACCTGTGATAACTTTTGCCCGATTCTTTTCACGAGTTTGTAAATATGACGTGTTTAAACTGAATTGTTTAAATGCGTCCAGTTCAAATATGTATATTGGGTTATGTTGGATAACGGTCGAAATGTTTCCTTTGTTGGTGGTTATTGGTGACAGGAAATTGTGCTTACAGATGGTGTGTAATGCACTGTAATTTTGTGTAATTATAGGCATATAACCATGGAGTTTTTCTGCAGGTAGAAGAAGGTGGTGAGGAGGAGAGCGACGAGGATGAAAAAGTTGATGTATATGCCGAAGAAAAGAGGCTGCGAATGAGAATTGGTGAGTGTTGACAATAACATGTCACAGTCAACATGGTGCCTATGCACATGTGTCAAACGTCATTGCCCATAAATCACACGTCTTTACTAACACCCGTAACTGTATCAGATACTACTACCTGGAGCCCTACGGTTCTCATCTACATACCACAGCCCACTACCTACAGCCCACAGCCTCCCATCTACATACCACTACCTGGATTTGTCACCAGACGTTATCCATACATCACTCCTCTCTGTCCATACATTATATATTTCTGTCCAAACATCACACATCTTTGTCTATACATAACATTTTTCTGTCCATACATCACACGTCTCTGTCCATACAACACATATCTCAGTCCATACATCACACGTCTCTGTCCATACATCACACCTCTCTGTTCATAAATCACACATCTTTATCTATACATCACACGTCTTGGCCTTTACGTCAAACGTCTCTGTCCATACATCAAATATCTCTGTCCATACATCACATGTCTCTGCTTTTACGTCACACGTCTCTGTCCATACATCACACGCCCCTGTCCATACGTCACACGTCTCTGTCCACGTCTCATTTTATACATCACACGTCTCTGTCAATACATCACACATCCCTGCCTTTACGTCACACATCTCTATCCACGTCTCTGTCCATATATCACACGTCTCTGTCCATATATCACACATCACTCCCTTTACATCACACGTCTCTGTCCATACATCACACCTCTCTGTTCATACATCACACATCGTTGTCGATACATCACAAATCTCTGTCCATACATCACACGTCTCTGTCCATACATCACAAATCTCTGTCCATAAATCATATATCTCTGTCCATACGTCACACATCTCTATCCACGACTCTGTCCATATATCACACGTCTCTGTCCATATATCACACATCACTCCCTTTACATCACACGTCTCTGTCCATACATCACACCTCTCTGTTCATACATCACACATCGTTGTCGATACATCACAAATCTCTGTCCATACATCACACATCTCTGTCCATACATCACAAGTCTCTGTCCATACATCACACATCACTCCCTTTACATCAAACGTCTCTGTCCATACATCACACCTCTCTGTTCATACATCACACATCGTTAACGATACATCACAAATCTCTGTCCATACATCACACGTCTCTGTCCATACATCACAAGTCTCTGTCCATAAATCATATATCTCTGTCCATACGTCACACATCTCTATCCACGACTCTGTCCATACATCAAACGTCTCTGCCTTCATGACACACGTCTCTGTCCATACATCACACGTCTCTGTCCATACATCACACGTATATGTCTATACGTCACACGTTTCTGTCCATACATCACACGTCTATGTCTTTACGTCTCACGTCTCTGTCCATACATCACACGTCTCTGTCCATACATCACACGTCTATGTCTATACGTCACACGTCTCTGTCCATACATCACACGTCTCTGTCCATACATCACACGTCTATGTCTATACGTCACACGTCTCTGTCCATACATCACACGTCTATGTCCATACATCACACGTCTCTGTCCATACATCACACGTCTCTGTCCATACATCACATGTCTCTGCCTTTACGTCACCCGTCTCTGTCTATACATCACACGTCTCTGTCCATACATCACACGTCTATGTCTATACGTCACACGTCTCTGTCCATACATCACACGTCTATGTCCATACATCACACGTATCTGCCCATACATCACATGTCTCTGCCTTTACGTCACCCGTCTCTGTCTATACATCACAAGATTCTGCCTTCATGTCACATGTCTCTGTCCATACATCGCACGTCTCTGTCCATACATCACACGTCTCTGTCCATACATCTCACGTCTCTGTCCATACGTCACACGTCTCTGTCCATACATCACACGTCTCTGCCTTCATGTCACATATCTCTGCCTTTACGTCACACGTCTCTGTCTTTACGTCACACGTCTCTGTCCATACATCACACGTCTCTGTCCATACATCACACGTCTCTGCCTTCACGTCACACGTCTCTGTCCATACATCACACGTCTCTGTTCATACATCGCACGTCTGTGTCCATACATCACACATCGTTGTCGATACATCACAAATCTCTGTCCATACATCACACGTCTCTGTCCATACATCACAAATCTCTGTCCATAAATCATATATCTCTGTCCATACGTCACACATCTCTATCCACGACTCTGTCCATATATCACACGTCTCTGTCCATATATCACACATCACTCCCTTTACATCACACGTCTCTGTCCATACATCACACCTCTCTGTTCATACATCACACATCGTTGTCGATACATCACAAATCTCTGTCCATACATCACACATCTCTGTCCATACATCACAAGTCTCCGTCCATACATCACACATCACTCCCTTTACATCAAACGTCTCTGTCCATACATCACACCTCTCTGTTCATACATCACACATCGTTGTCGATACATCACAAATCTCTGTCCATACATCACACGTCTCTGTCCATACATCACAAGTCTCTGTCCATAAATCATATATCTCTGTCCATACGTCACACATCTCTATCCACGACTCTGTCCATACATCAAACGTCTCTGCCTTCATGACACACGTCTCTGTCCATACATCACACGTCTCTGTCCATACATCACACGTATATGTCTATACGTCACACGTTTCTGTCCATACATCACACGTCTATGTCTTTACGTCTCACGTCTCTGTCCATACATCACACGTCTCTGTCCATACATCACACGTCTATGTCTATACGTCACACGTCTCTGTCCATACATCACACGTCTCTGTCCATACATCACACGTCTATGTCTATACGTCACACGTCTCTGTCCATACATCACACGTCTATGTCCATACATCACACGTCTCTGTCCATACATCACACGTCTCTGTCCATACATCACAAGTCTCTGCCTTTACGTCACCCGTCTCTGTCTCTACATCACACGTCTCTGTCCATACATCACACGTCTCTGTCCATACATCACACGTCTATGTCTATACGTCACACGTCTCTGTCTATACATCACACGTCTCTGTCCATACATCACACGTCTCTGTCCAAACATCACACGTCTATGTCCATACATCACACGTTTCTGTCCATACATCACACGTCTCTGTCCATACATCACACGTCTATGTCTATACGTCACACGTCTCTGTCCATACATCACACGTCTATGTCCATACATCACACGTCTCTGCCCATACATCACATGTCTCTGCCTTTACGTCACCCGTCTCTGTCTATACATCACAAGATTCTGCCTTCATGTCACATGTCTCTGTCCATACATCGCACGTCTCTGTCCATACATCACACGTCTCTGTCCATACATCGCACGTCTCTGTCCATACGTCACACGTCTCTGTCCATACATCACACGTCTCTGCCTTCATGTCACATGTCTCTGCCTTTACGTCACACGTCTCTGTCTTTACGTCACACGTCTCTGTCCATACATCACACGTCTCTGTCCATACATCACACGTCTCTGCCTTCACGTCACACGTCTCTGTCCATACATCACACGTCTCTGTTCATACATCGCACGTCTGTGTCCATACATCACACGTCTCTGCCTTCACGTCACACGTCTCTGTCCACGTCTCTGTCCATACATCACACGTCTCTGTCATTAGATCACATTTCACTACCATATTTTCAGATCTGTGCAAAAAGAAGAAATGTTACCGTGGTGAAGTGTGTCGCCTAGACAACCGGCAGCAGGCTGAGTGTGTGTGCCTTCACGAGTGCGAGCCGGAGGTTGATCCTCGCTATCACGTAAGTCAACTGTACATCTGTACATTGTAAAAATGTGTTTAGATTCTAAACACAAACGTGTTTAGAATTATGTTTAACAGTTAAACGTGTATAAGGTCTCCATGTGGGAAAGACCCATATCCAGTGATACCTTGATACGTTTACCTTTATTTTAGGTAATTTTAAAAGGGGAGCTTTCTATGTTTTTTAGCATTTAATGAGGTGGGGAGCGGGATAAACTGAAAAATTAAGGGTCTATAGTAGAAATGACATATACTTCAGATAGATAGATTGCCAAAGGGACGCTTCTCTACACAGAAAAAAGTGCTATCGTATATATAATGACAGAAAGAGGATATTTAATGGTGGGTGCCAAATGTCGGTCTGGTCTATGAATTGCACATCTAAACCAATACAAGTGGCCTAAAACTTAGAGCAGTTGATATCCCAACTCTCGAAAGTGACGACTTGACTTTATCTTTACAATATATATGATTAAAAAGAATATTCGAATTGGGTACAGAGTATTCTTCTTCCTAGAACAGAACAGAACAGCACTTTATTTCTCTCAGGCCGAGTATATCGGCATATGAGGTACAACCAGTATTTTACATTGCCGTGGACAGAGGTTAACCGGGACTTTTTACAATTTTCATTATAATGTTCACACATGTACACAGTTTATTTTGGACAGACATCTTTTGGCATTTAAAAAAATTTAAAATAAGGACCTTCGTTTTATTCATGTTTACAGTTAGTTTCCACAGCTTACAATAAGTTTCAAAACAATTTAGTGATTTCTGATGGTCTTTACACAAGGAAAAAATGCTGTAAATTGTCTCCTTGTCTAACTGTCCCCTTATGTTATAAACCAAAGGACACATGTGCAGCACTTACAAAAACATTGTTAACATTGTCAACAATATCTGATAAACATTCTTTTTAAGATGAGAACCACACATATTCAGTTTATCAAATATTGTATTCACGTCGTCAGTGTTGCTGGCGTCTTGAAATTGACATGTTTTTCTGCTGCCCTACTGACGGTAGTCGCATGTGTCATAGTGCGCCTGTCAGTAGCAGGCGTTGATTGGCAGGCAGTGTCGTCTTGACAAAGTGTTTATGTTTAGATGTATAGCACTATACATAGGATCAAAGTCTTGTACATAAAAATTAATTACATCTTTAAGTCTACCTGCAGTTGCTATAGTATAGTCGATTAAACTAACACCTTTACATGTATTTCTTCCCAGGTGTTAATCTTCTCCAAATCTTCAATTGATGGTGGACAAGTTATTGTTTTTACCATTCTAAAATAATATATCCATGATCATTAGCTCTTCCATTATCTTGTAAGTGTCTTGCGTTGTCTATACCTAATGATGTAATGTCTTCTGTAGCATTTAATTCTTCTTTTATGTCTTCTGGGATATTTAAGCGTGCAGATAGTGTATATTCTATACAAGTAATGTTCATTTTTCATAAAATCTCCTAACATAACAATATCAAAATCAGAATCATATTCACATATCTCAGATTCAATATCATTGAAACACACATGGCTATAGTAACGTGATCCCTCAGGGGGGATGTAGAAATCACGAGTACTAAATCACACTCAGACTCATCAGTGGTTGGGACATTTAACTTCCTTGACCACCCAATGTGGCTGTTCCTTGGCCACTGTACTCGGTCTTCTGTGGCTTCTGTTAGGGCTGGTGGGGGTCAGGCTTCTCAGGTTGTCTGTTAGGGCTTGTTGGGGTCAGGCTTCTGTATTTATCTGTTAGGGCTGGTGGGGGGCAGGCTTCTGTAGTTATCTGTTAGAGCTGGTGGGGGGCAGGCTTCTGTAGTTGTCTGTTAGGGCTGGCGAGGGGCAGGCTTCTGTAGTTGTCTGTTAGCACTGGCGAGGTGCAGGCTTCTGTAGCTGTCTCTTAGGGCTGGTGGGGGGGGGGGGGGGGGGGGGGAGGCTTCTGTAGTTGTCTGTTAGGGCTGGTGGGGGGGGGAGGCTTCTGTAGTTGTCTGTTAGCGCTGGTGGGGATTAGGCTTCTGTAGTTGTCTGTTAGGGCTGGTGGGGGTCAGGCTTATGTAGCTGTCTGTTAGCGCTGCTGGGGGTCAGGCTTCTGTAGTTGTCTGTTAGCGCTGGTGGGGGTCAGGCTTCTGTAGTTGTCTGATAGCGCTGGTGGGGGCCAGGCTTCTGTAGTTATCTGCTGGGGCTGGTGGGGGCCATGCTTCTGTAGTTGTATGTTCGGGCTGGTGGAGGTCAGGCTTCTGTGGCTGTCTGCTTCGCCTGGTAAAGGCAGGGCTTCTGTGGCTGTCTGCTAGGGCTGGATGGGGTCAGGCTCTCTTTAGTTGTCTGTTAGAGCTGGTGGGGGCCAGGCTTCTGTAGTTTTCTGTTACGGCTGGTGGGTTTGAGGCTTCTGTAGTTGTCTGTTAGGGCTGTTTGGGGCCAGTCTCCTGTAGTTGTCTGTTAGGGCTGGTGGGGGACTGACTTCTGTAGTTTATGTTAGGGCTGGTGGGGGCCAGGCTTCTGTAGTTGTCTGTTAGGGCTGGTGGGGGACAGACTTCTGTAGATGTATGTTAAGGCTGGTGGGGGGCAGACTTCTCTAGTTGTCTGTTAGGGCTTGAGGGGGTCAGGCTTCTGTACCTGTCTGTTAGGGCTGGTGGGGGCCAGGCTTCTGTAGTTGTCTGTTAGCTCTGGTGGGGATAAGGCTTCTGTAGTTGTCTGTTAGGGCTGGTGGGGATCAGGCTTATGTAGTTGTCTGTTAGGGTTGGTGGGGATCAGGCTTCTGTAGTTGTCTTTTAGTGCTGGTGGGGGCCAGTCGTCTGTAGTTGTCTGTTAGGGCTGGTGGGGGGCAGGCTTCTGTAGTTGTCTGTTAGCTCTGGTGGGGATAAGGCTTCTGTAGTTGTCTGTTCGGGCTGGTGGGGTTCAGGCTTATGTAGTTGTCTGTTAGGGTTGGTGGGGATCAGGCTTCTGTAGTTGTCTTTTAGTGCTGGTGGGGGCCAGTCTCTGTAGTTGTCTGTTAGGGCTGGATGGGGCCAGTCTTCAGTAGTTGTATGTTAGGGCTGATGGGGGACAAGCTTCTGTAGTTGTATGTTAGGGCTGGTGGGGGTCACGTTTCTATAGTAATCTGTAGTTGTCTGTAAGGGTTGTGGGGTCAGGCTTCTGTAGTTGTCTGTTAGGGCTGGTGGGGGTCAGGCTTATGTAGCTGTCTGTTAGGGCTGGTGGGAGTCAGGCTTCTGTAGTTGTCTGTTAGCGCTGCTGGGGGTCAGGTTTCTGTAGTTGTCTGTTAGCGCTGGTGGGGCCAGGCTTCTGTAGTTGTCTGATAGCGCTGGTGGTGGTCAGGCTTCTGTAGCTGTCTGTTAGGGCTGGTGGGGGCCAGGCTTCTGTAGTTATCTGCTGGGACTGGTGGGGGCCAGGCTTCTGTAGTTGTATGTTCGGGCTGGTGGGGGTCAGGCTTCTGTGGCTGTCTGCTTCGCCTGGAAAAGGCAGGGCTTCTGTGGCTGTCTGCTAGGGCTGGTGGGGGGTCAGGCTTCTATGGCTGTCTGCTAGGGCTGGATGGGGTCAGGCTCTCTTTAGTTGTCTGTTAGAGCTGGTGGGGGACAGGCTTCTGTAGTTTTCTGTTACGGCTGGTGGGGTTGAGGCTTCTGTAGTTGTCTGTTAGGGCTGTTTGGGGCCAGGCTTCTGTAGTTGTCTTTTAGGGCTGGTCGGGGCCAGTCTTCTGTAGTTGTCTGTTAGGGCTGGTAGAGGACAGACTTCTGTAGTTGTATGTTAGGGCTGGTTGGGGCCAGGCTTCTGTAGTTGCCTGTTAGGGTTGGTGGGTGACAGACTTCTGTAGTTTATGTTAGGGCTGGTGGGGGCCAGGCTTCTGTAGTTGTCTGTTAGGGCTGGTGGGGGACAGACTTCTGTAGATGTATGTTAAGGCTGGTGGGGGGCAGACTTCTCTAGTTGTCTGTTAGGGCTTGAGGGGGTCAGGCTTCTGTACCTGTCTGTTAGGGCTGGTGGGGGTCAGGCTTCTGTAGTTGTCTTTTAGGGCTGGTTGGGGCCAGGCTTCTATAATTGTCTGTTAGGGCTGGTGGCCAGTCTTCTGTTGTTGTCTGTTAGGGCTGGTGGGGGACAGACTTCTGTAGTTGTATGTTAGGGCTGGTTGGGGCCAGGCTTCTGTAGTTGCCTGTTAGGGTTGGTGGGGGACAGACTTCTGTAGTTTATGTTAGGGCTGGTGGGGGCCAGGCTTCTGTAGTTGTCTGTTAGGGCTGGTGGGGGACAGACTTCTGTAGATGTATGTTAGGGCTGGTGGGGGACAGACTTCTCCAGTTGTCTGTTCGGGCTTGAGGGGGTCAGGCTTCTGTAATTGTCTGTTAGGGCTGGTGGCCAGTCTTCTGTTGTTTTCTGTTGGGGCGGGTGGGGGACATACCTCTATGGTTGTCTGCTAGAGCTGGTGGTGGCAAGGCTTCTGTGTCTCTCTGTTAGGGCTGGTGGGGGTCAAGCTTCTGTAGTTGTATGTTAGGGCTGGTGGGGGTCAAGCTTCTGTAGTAATCTGTAGTTGTCTGTAAGGGTTGGTGGTGTCTGTCTTCTGTAGTTGTATGTTAGGGCTTGTGGGGGTCAAGCTTCTGTAGTAATCTGTAGTTGCCTGTAAGGGTTGTGGGGTCAGGCTTCTGTAGTTGCCTGTTAGGGCTCGTGGGGGTCAGGCGTCTGTAGTTGTCTGTTAAAGCTGGTTTGGGCCAGGCTTCTCAAGTAGTCTGTAGTTGCCTAATAGCGCTGGTGGGGGCAGGCTTCTGTAGTTGTCTGTTAGCGCTGGTGGGGATTAGGTTTCTATAGTTGTCTTTTAGGGCTGGTGGGGGCCAGTCGCATGTAGTTGTCTGTTAGGGCTGGATGTGGCCAGTCTTCTGTAGTTGTCTGTTAAGGCTGGTGGGGGCCAGTCGTCTGTAGTTGTCTGTTAGGGCTGGTGGGGATTAGGCTTATGTAGTTGTCTGTTAGGGTTGGTGGGGATCAGGCTTCTGTAGTTGTCTTTTAGTGCTGGTGG